TCATTCTCAGCTGAAATTCCTGTATGTCCATACATTTCTCTGTTGTAAGTCCTACTCCTATTCGGAGAATCAAAATAGCAGCATGACTCCTCACTTATTCTTGTCCATTTTACTCTTCTGGGAGCCCTGAGATTGCAAAAACATGAATATTCACCGTGGACAAAAAAGACATCTTGGGAATGGAGCCAAGCTGCATGCAGGCCCATTAATTCCTCTGCTACCACTTCAGCTGCAGGCTACTAGAAAGCATTAAACAAAAAAGCAGCAACAACAGCAAGGAAGGAAGGTGAAGGAGGGCCAAGCAATCTCACTGCCACCTTCAGTGGGAGATTCCTATCTTGTGCTGAACGGCAGCCTGTAATGAAGATGGTCTGCCTCAGCTGTGCACTGCCCAGGACAGGCAGAGCCAGACACAAGCGGCACGCTTTGGCCAAAGCCTTGCATTCATCCCCACTCACGATAACCCAACACAATGCTATCTCCTAAGAATAGAGTGGGATCTGCTGCTGAAAGTGACCTAGGGAGGGTTTCATATCTAATATCAAGTGACTGCTGGAAATGTCCAGGCTGCCTAGCCATGGTGGAGTGACAGTGTTCTTGAGCTTCTGTGTTTGATCTGTTCCATGGTAAGTGATGCACAGAATGCCCTCCTGCAAACAGCATGCTGGCTCAGGTAGGCGTTGCCATGGCCTAGCTGCACTTCACACGGCAGCAGCTTGGACAGCAAACAGCCCCGAAGCCACACTGTGCTCCTTGACTACAGCAAGGGGCATCAGTACGTACCCTGAGTTCAGGAGCAGTAATTCAGAGTATCCCTGATAGTCACACCTTTGCTCAAACTTCAACAATCACCACCAGAGACAGGAAGAACAGAGGAAGACCATCACTACTCCTCCACGTTAACTTCAAACTGGATCTCCCCCCTGCCCTGCTAAGTCTTTAACTACCTCACAGCCTCAGATGAGTTACCTCCAATAGGGGAGTTCTGGTAATAGAAACCAGGTGGGGGCAGTTCAGGTTCAAAGACCCAAGCGTAGGGAGGTGCCTGTGTGCAGGCTGCCCTCAGCCTAGGTATGGTGTAGGATCAGGGGTGCTCACGTTGTGAGCTGCTGAGTTGCGGGGGATTTGTGGCCTTGCACATCCCTGGCACCTGTTTGGCGGAGGAGAGTCAGACAGCTCAGCCAAGAGCAGGAGACAAGTGCCAACACAGGCTGAAGGCTTGGACATGTACAGGTGTGTGGCTAATGGGAATTAGATCACATTTTTACACTTACTTTGCACTAAGCTGTGCAAAGCACACAAGTAGGTGCTTGATGCATATAGCCCCAGAATAGAAAGATTTTTCTCATTGACCTAAGAAAAAGAGAGATGATCCCCATTTCAGCTCTGGATCTGGTTGATATATTTTTATATACTCTGCCAGACTAAATCCCTGCTCTAGACATTTGTGAGCTGTGGAATTTGAAGTCTGGGTCTTCCCAAATGTCAGGATCTGATTCTTTTAGGACTCAAGACAAAGCAGATTTGAATTTATGTCTCTTGAAAAATATGGCAATTCTTTCTCTGAGGCAATTCCTTATAGGGGCAGCCTGTTGGTGTCGTAGGTCACTGATGTGAGGGACAATTTACAGAATCAAAGTAACGAGAGGCTTGCAATGCAGAACTGGTGGCCTTGGGAAAAGCACAGATAACCTCAGTGCTGAGGCTTATGTAATTGCTGGTTTGAATAAATCAGTTCATCCTGCACATATAATGAAGGAAAGTCCAGAAGAAAAATGGATGGATGCCTCATCTCTAGAGACACTCAAAGTCAGGCTGGATGGAACTCTGAGCAACCTGATCTAGCTGTGGGTGTCCCTGTTCACTGCAGGGGGGTTGGACCAGATGGCCTTTTAGAGTCCTTTCCAACTCAAATGATTCTATCATTCTTTGAAATTTGGTTGTGTAAATGCATGACCAAAAATTCCATCATAGACCCATCAGGCATGGAGTCATGTATTTTCTAATTTCCAGACCTTTGGCATTGCAAGCTTAGCATCCTTTAAACACGATTTCCAGTGTGCAGATGTATGTATATAAGTACATATTCTTTTGCACAGATGTACACAGATGCACAGAGATACACGTACACATGTGTGTCAGTGTGTTGGGCTACAGATGATGCATTGTCTGAAGCTAAAGACATTTTCCATGTGTTATATAGCAGAGTTTAAGAGCGTTTGTATACATTCCAAGGCTCGTGGTTCTCCAAACGGTGAGCCATTACAGAAAATGAAGGGTTTACTCTAGCTGAATAAAAATCTTTTCAGGAGGGGCTCCAAGCTGGGTCAGCAGCCCTTCCTTTTTCCCAACGCAAGGAAACCAAGTGACGTAACTTGCTGTGTCACGAGGTTTGCATCTGCAGACATTTCGGGAACTGAGTTCCTGTGAATGGAGTGACATGCAAAAGGACTGTGGATCCTGAGCCTAATATTTAACTTCTTGGTGACTCATCCAGGACTGTCCTAGTGTTTGCAATTGTAATGGTTTTGGCAAATGTGACTGATTACACGCTTAGAAGCACCCAGATTTTAAGCCTCAGAACCACTGGCTGTAGCAGCAGAACCCAGGGCTCTTGCAGGGCCCAGCTGGCTCACCAGTCGGATGGATCATCAGTGTATTCAAGAAGATGTTTGTCTCTCTCTGCTTGACAAGGAATTTTTTTTTTAACAATTGTGTTTATTATGTGCAGCTACAATGCGTTTGCTTTCTTGAGGAGTGCTCTCTTTCTTTAGTTTTAGGGCCTTTTGAGACAGCAGAAGGCAGATTTTGGCCATTGGCCCACAATTTTTAAACATCCTGAAGCCCAGTGAGAAGAGTGGATATCTCAAAGCCCCAGCCTAAGGGTCACTAGCCAAATGCAGATCACCTCATTAGCTCAGGCAATCAGTTTGCAATGACTGTTTTGGGTAATGCTGCACATGCGCAGTGCAGCTGATGTGTCTCTGTAGCATCAATCTGCATAAGCAAAATGAACCAGGGCAGCACAAACGCTGTTGGAAACAGGAGCTCCAAAACACATTGATTGCTCTCTGAGGTGGTTTCAGCAGTTTCCCTGACCGGCTTAATTTAGAGATGAGACAGGGGCAAGTGTCACACTCCTCAGGAAGATGCATGGGGACGTGAGGCTGCTCTGTGAGGCCCCTTGCACTCTAACCCACCTTTGCAATGCACACCAAGTGAGAGAGGAAAACACTGTAAAACATTCTGTGCGTGTTTGATCACAGGGCTGATCATTTTCCATCTCCACTGTGGCCTCGCCTGTTTTTTGTCTCACTAACAGCAGTCAACACGGACAATTTTATTTAGATGCCTCGTTGTGTTTTACTGCACAACCCATGACATGTAACCTGAAGCACAAATGCACAAAAGGGATTTGGCATCTTTGCTCTGTGGCACAAACAGGATTATTGTTAGGGGCCATCCCAAACAGGAGCCTGCCTGCAGGGACACAGCAAGCAGCTTGCTGAGCAGCTGGCCCAGCCGAGCCCTGCAGGCCCACAGCCCTGCTGCCCACACCTCCTTGCCCCATGCTTGTCCTGGGATGGGACACTGGGCCCACTTGCCAGCCCATCATTGTACAGCAATCAGTTAAATTTATGTGGCATGTGGTTTCATTCAGCTCATCTGGGCTCCCCTGTAAGTCAGGCACACCCTGGCCTGATTGGAATCATGAAGGCCCTTTCCTGGCCAGACGCTCACCCGAACACAAAGCAGACTAGGCACCGAAAGGCCAATGGGTTCTTCCTCTCAAAGCTCTGGAGACCCTTAATCCCTGTGTATCCTTTTTCCACATGCAGCTTTATGCGTTTGATTGAAGACCAAGTGATAGAGATTCAATTAGCAGAGGGAAGGGACTCTGCAGGCCCTGAGCGCAGGGGGCTTTTTGCTGTAGTGTATGAGGTCATCCCCACAGAAGCAGTTAGTTGGGGTCTGAAGAGCCCCTCAAAATGATAAATCTACAGTGAGCAGAAGGGACATGGCCAGTAGAACGTCCCAGAGAAAAATCTGCTGTGTGGACAGACAAAAGAGGGAAGAAACAGAGAGGCTTTACAAGTGAAATTCATTAGAAATTGTCCTGATGTAGGGAAGTCATCTCCCAGGGCTTTGGGATAGCTGCAGAGAATCTGGTGGAGTGCATTTAAAATGGACATTGTTCTACCACTGGGACCTGGTTTTGCAACGCTATTCTCTTTTAGAGCAGTTAAGAAATGCGAGAAAAATGAGATTTTATAGTGACATTACTCAGGCAATCTCCTGTGTCTTCAAAATGCAGCTGGAAGCAGAACACCGGGTTGAACCCGTTTCCTCCAGCGCTGCAGGGGGCACAGGCCACCCCTGGTGACAAGCTGCAGCCCTGCAGTGTCTGAAGGTGCTCTGGGGACAGGACTTGTGCTCAGAACTCATGGACAGCATGCTGTGTGAGGCAGCCTTGCTAGCCTTTGCACTTCAAGTCTTTCCAAGTCTATATGACTCTATTCTGAAATAGGCTCAGTGCTGAATGTGTATCTGGGATTCAATCACTCGTTAGCAACCTTGGAGTCGTGTTTATTTGGAAAACAGGTGAGAGAGAGACAAAGGGAATGGCTCACTGTAAACATAGTTGCTTCATCTCCACTTATTTGGCTGGTGTGATCCCAAGGCATGGGGGACACCCCTACATCAGTGCTCACTCATATTCATCTTGCAGCAACTTGACCTGTGCCCACCCACCCTGCCAAGGTCACAGGACAGCCCCAAAAGGAATGGAGGGGGAGTGGGTCTGACCCTAAGCCTGGTCTCAAGGAACAACCATGCAGCCACCCGGTCCTCTGACTTGATCATGTGCAGTGGGGGCACTGGGAGAGACACACTGGGATTCACTGGAAATGAAAGACAATGGCACAGAACTTTTAAATAATTTTATAATTTCCTGATGAACTTAGTCTGTGAATAAAAAAAAGAAGAAAAAAAAAAAAAAAAAAGAACAAAGTGTTTATATTATCAAGGCAAAGTTGAATATAACACATTTTCTTTGCAATTTCATTATCCTGTCAGTAACATGACTCCAGCAATAAAACACATACAAGTTGAAGGCAGCGTGCGCACTTGCATCACGGACATCAATGTCTCCCGCTGCTATTTCCAAAAGGAATCCAAGTACACCAGATCCCATACCCAAAGCCTTTCTCCCCCTCCACTAAAGTGCAACACATCTCTTCCAAAGCAAATGAGGGATCCATGTCTGCAGAGAGGATGGAGTATCCCATCCCACCGCGGTTTTTTTAACCCTTAGGGCAATCCTCTGGATTGCCCCCAAACACTTGGTGAGCCAGAACCTGGAGTGGGGCCCTCATTATGTACTGACTTGGAGGAAAACAGCAACGTGCTTTTCTAGTGAGCTAGGAGCAGCATGTTAGACTAGCACTAGAAGTTATTTCCCCATTCATGGTCCCATTTTTCATCCTCCTTCAGAATCTGAACAGATAAAGGCATTTGCCACCACAACTTCCCCAGATGTACTGTAATAAACATTTCAGGACGTGCCCAGTGCAGGCGCCCTGAGCCAGGCTGCTGCCATGTGCTGCTGAGGGCTGAGGGCAGCCTGTATCTCACAGGGTCTGAGGCCTGGCCGTGCCCACGGAGATTGAAGGAAAGATGCCTACTTGTACAATTTAGCTTCAGATTTGGATTTTAGTTGATGACCGTGTTTTATAATAAAAGAGATTTACATACGATGGATGAAGAAATCCTTTTTTTTTGTGAGCCCAAATTGAAAAAATAATCTTTTGAGCAACGAACCCACCAAAGCACCGAGAAACCAAGATGCATATAAAAGCAAAATTGATTTACTTCATTAAGATCCAAACAGGAAGTGCAAAATGAGGATAAATAGCACATGCTAGTTAACTTTGAAAGAAAAAATACATTCATTTAACGATGTTCTTCACCTAGTATTCCAGGTCAAGCAAAATGTGTGGGCTTTTTTTTAATGTTAACATGCCAGTTTATCCTCACGTTGTTCCTTCTAAGCAGCTCTGAAAATAGACCCACATGCCTACAGCCAAACTACACTTCCACGTGGCTCTTGCATGTTGGCCAAACAATCTGGTCCATTTACATCAATGGTTCACATTGTAGGGGACACCCGATGATACCAGAAAAGATAAAATCCCCTTTCTTTCTGCCCATTTCTACACGAGGCATGTACAGTCTAAAAGTGGGAAAGCAGGAATTTACAACACATAGTTCATAACATTTCCAATGAGGCCAAGCCTCCTGGACCTCAAAAGCCTGCAAAGGGCAACTGGTTATAATTATAAGCCCACAAATCCTTTTCCGTACAGTCCTGAGAGGAGGAGTCACGGCTTTGTTGTTTCATTACTTGAATTCCTTTTGATGAAATTTATTTTTTATATATTTTTAAAACACATCTTTTTCAGTTCTACTACTATCTTTTTTTAATCCGACAACAGACACACATTGTTGGTAACTGCCCCAGCCTTAGGACCACACAGACAATATCAACAAGCAGAAAACAAAACAGGAAAAAACGCCCCTGAAAAAGTCAGGAGAGATACTGATGACAGGGTTACAGCACTCACCACACACACTGGAAAAAAGTCAGGATTTCTGTGTTTATGCTTTTGACACTAAAAAGTTTTGAAACAGTTTTTCTTTTTAAAAAAGTCAGCGGACGCAGCCATTTTGTTCAGAAGGATTTGCCGTTGTATAAGGTTCCTTCCATTTATGTGGAAGAAACAATTAAAAACGTAATTTTGCTTAAAAATCCCCCCCGACACTCATTCTTTTTGCCATGCTGACGAGACTGATTGGCAGAGTGCTCTCGCCAGCAGCGCCGGACACCCTCCGCCTGACCCTTCTACCCCACCAGCTTCACTGGGGCAGTGTTAGTTATCCATTGCCTTCTGCTTCCTCCCCATTTCCCCGTTCCAGTGCAGATGTTGAGCTGAGTAGAGCTTTTAACATCAGATGCCTTGATTGTACTATTTCCCTTTGTATTTTATCGGTGTCATCGAGAGATGCGCGTGTGACTTACGTAGTGAAATATTTTTTTGCAATGGTATCAGTGCATGGCTCTCTACATCCTTTGTAAAGAGCCTTTCAGTGGCAACAACTGGCAATTAGTCCAGGAGTGGGGACTCAACTCTGTTAACCTGTTATCAGCCGTAGAAATTTCCCAACAAATTGAACTTTAGCAGCAGAATGGGTGGGAATTAGAGGACAAACAAAAATAGGAGCCCCTTTGGTTAAAAAAACAGGGTTATGCGTATAAGAACTATGAGATCAGTGCTCCCTTGTATAAAATACTGAGACCCACAAGGTCAGCAAATCTGATAGAGAAGGTATATTTCAGCAGCGCAACGGGAAACAGCACATAGAGTTCGTGCATTGCATGACTTTCGCCTTCCATCCACTGGACTTGGCAAAAACTGGATGCTCCAGAGTTTGGCATTTTCTAAAGGGAAAGCTGGTTAAAGGCAGTCAAAGTGAGAAATAATAGCAGAAGCTTAGAGTTTTCTTTGGGAGCACTCCAGCCAAATCTTCTTCCAATCACAAATAGTGCTAATGTTCTCACACTGCAACTCTAGTGTTGTAATGTCCTTTTAGTGTTTTAAATGAGGCTTGATTCAGAGGAAAATATGTGCTTGGACTCATGGATATCATCAGCAAGCATGGTTGGGATGTCAGCTTTTACACTATACCTGGACTACAGGCTTGAGCTGTTTTTCAGCTCAAACCTAGAAAAAAATTATCTATTTAATTTTCTACAGGCAGATCCTCAGGTCCTTACATCTACCAGTTTCTCTACAAATGACATATTGGAAGAAAAAAAAACAACCAACAAAGCAATCAAGACTTTCACAACTCCTGCAGCAAATGGAACTTCATTAGAAACAAGAACAAGTAAGTTTCCCCAGGCTCACTGGGATCTGGACAGGAAGCCAGGAGGCAGGAGGGGCCCCAGAATTTCCCAGAACTGCTGTACTGTGGAAGTGTTGCACAAGGAAACTGCATCTTCCTGGCTGCTGACACCTGGATGTAAGATAGCAGAGGAATTGGAGAGAGTTAGACAACTGGAGGAGCATCATGGCAAGTACACTTGTATGAATTTTCTGCCATGTGCCCAATGGGTGGTTTCTTGATGGACAATGATCACCAAATCTCTTGATTACCCTAAGGCCAATGTTGTGGCACTCCATATAAACAAGAAGAAAAGCTTTTGCGGGCCACACTCTGCATTAAATCACAGCCAGCAGCATCTCCCAGATCACACAGTTCTTCAAACTATTTGCCACAACAAGATCTGTATCTACACAGGATCAGAGAGATTATTTGAAATAGTTCAGTGGAGATCAAGTTGGATCAAGTCTGTTCCCAACTGAGATCTGCTCTCTCCCTGAAAGTACTTCACTGAGGTCTAAGATCAGTGTTTAAGTTGCAAGTCTAGAAGCCCAAGAAGATAACAGTAGTAAAGAACACTTGCAATGGCCCAATAATCCTGCTGGGAAGAACAGCAAGCATGTGGCTTGCAGACAGAAGACCAAATGGCTGGTATGAAAACTGGCCTAGTTTTTGATAAACCAAATCAAGGAAGTCACCAGGAGATGCATAAACAGCGAGATTCACCTGGTTTCAGATGCATGGGTCCCACGGACAGCATCATGCCTTTGCTGAGGCACTTTTCAGCCAAGAAACACAGCCTCAGGCTGGCAGCTGAGTTAAAGACGCAAAGGAACCAGTGCTGAAACTCAGAGCTTTCCTGTGATGTATGAGCAACGCAGCACACAAACGGAATTGAAATAACAGCCAGAAATGACCACCCCTCGCTCTCATCCCTCCCCCTTCCCCTGCAGCAGGAACACTATCAAGGGACATCTCAGTAAGAGGTTTACAAGCAGGAGTCATTTGAACCATCGATAAGGGAAATTCCACAGCTTCTCACAGAAGAGGGATTGTTTTACAGCAGGGAACCAGGGCAGCTGGAGATTTGACCATATAAGTTAATGAGATAGTCAGGAGTGGTGGTGGCAGTGTGATGATGTTAGGCTGATGGCCCTGATGGTTTTACAGGCAGCATTAAATTCCTTGAGTGAGTAATTAGGGGTGATGAAGTAAAAGCAAGAGGAAAGATTTCAAAACAACAGCTCCTATCAAAACGTGCTGACTCAAATAATAGGACCAAAGGGGTGGTTCTGGTATGAGGCATGGCTCAGTGGTATGTACAGTCACTGTCTACATGCCTTCCGGTATTTCCCCCTTGCAAACATTCAGGTTCCCATTACTCTCCTCTTACATGAGAAAAAAAAACCCACAAAAATAAAACAAACAAAAGTCTTTGGACACAGGCTAATGCTATACTGAGAACTAAAGTTACATTTCCTGATTTGTAAAGCACTGTCAGTTCAAAAGATGGAGAAGGTGCGAGCCATCCCTTCTTTGGAGACCTAGGTATTTCTACCCAGCAGACGACATGGCTATGGATACAGCTGCTTCTTCTGAATCATCACAGTAGAATGAATTAGGGTATGATTCATTCATTTCAAATTAGTTAGTTTCCAATATAATCCACAGATGTATACGTTTTCAGCTTTGCCCAGTTTTCACTGGTTGAAAAGAAGATGGTACACCTTCCCTCATGGAAACTTTTGCTGACCTCCTTTCTATTAGAAGCAATCAGTCATTTCAAAGAGTAAAAATAAGGTGTGGAAGACCTACAGGTGAGTTATGCTACCAATTTGAAAGACGTAGGAAATCCAGTTCTTCTGAAAGGGTTTGAAACATTTTACTTAGCGTAACAGTTTAGTGATTAAGCTCAAAATGTAGTAAGTCAGATGGAATTAAACTCTGAATGGGAGGCTCTGAATGGGAAGTTTACTGAGAGACAGACGATGGATGGACACTGCGGTCAGCTGATGTTTCTAGAACTTGTAAAATCAGAGTTACAGCAATGGCTGCAGGAGTCAGAGGCCTTATAATTAGCTGGTGACTAGAAAACCAAGATTTCATCGCCTGCTGCGTTGCTATTTGGTCTCCTTTTCCCCTCCCCCTGTTTTCTTAAGTAATATGAGAAAGCTAAAGGGGAAAAACTCCTTTAAGGAGTACACGGGGACACGTTAAATGGTTCTGTACTGCAGATGCCCCCAGATGCATATAACCATTGGTAGCCAGGAAAAAAAATGTGTCCTCTTTAATGCAGAGCCCAAGAATGAACACCCAAGTCCTACTCATAAAATAGGGTTCTGAATTGCTACCACGACAAACCGACCTGCTATTTCAGGTCATATTACCTATCAGCAGGGGCTTTAATGAGCAACAAAGATGGATGGGAGCAAGATGAAGGCCTCTTATATACATATAAGAATTGCACTGGTTTAGCTAAAGCTGTGATTTTATACCTATCTACTCAACTGGGTGCCAACTCCAGCAGAGATGCTCTTCTTTATAAGAACAGGTTCTTGCTCTGAACTCAAACTAATTCCTTGTCAACCTAAACTAACCCAAAATAAATTAATTCATAATTATAGTAAGAACTGTGTTGCTGATTTATCTAAATTAGTTTTAAAATTGTATTTTTAAGCTAAATGATGCAATTTGGTTATGTACAAAATGCCTAAGACTATTCTGATGGCAGCTGGTGTTTACAAGCCTACAGCCTGAAAAATTAGCAATGGGCAAACTATACAAGTTAAACCTGGGAGCTGACTTGCTGATCACACCTGTTTGAAAGGGGAGATCTTTCTATAAAATAAGAATTTAGGTGACTCTATGAAGAACTCAGCTAAAAAAATGAAGAGCCAAAAGACAAAAACTGTTATCTGAAAATATGCCCCACTCAGCGCTTCAGAGTCAAATCACTGAACAATAACAATTAATGCTAAGTAAAAGAAAGTACCAGCATGCCTACCTGGTTTCCCAGCTGCTAGATTAAGACACTCACAGAACGTAATAAGGAAACCTTTCTTTCATCTCTATGTTATTTAAGAATGTAAGAAACATTGAGATAGGCAGTGAGACCTGAGCTAGCTTGCTGATGCTGGCCATTTGTGAGCCGTAATCAGAGCGTACTCAAGTTTAATTTTTAGCACTATGAAATAGAGGCTTTCAGCTTTTATGAGAAAAAAAAAAAAAAAGCAATAAATGAATGAAAGGCAAGGCTACCCATCTGCAACCTCATGACGAACTAGAACTTCTTGTATACAGTGGATCCCCTCTTTGATCAGGAGACTCAGAAGAGCTCTGCTTAGCTGTATCCAAAAGTCCAATACCAACAAGTCAGCAGGGAACTGGATGCTAAAGTAGAAAGGCAGTGAGAAGATGAACATAAGCATGACTGATTAATCATAGACTGGAAGAACCTAGAGAGCCTGTAGTTTTTAGAGGTGTTTGTTTTTGTTTGTTTTTGTTTTCCTTGCAAAAAGTGCACCAGAAGTTTCTGTTCCATTTTCTGTCTTTCACATTCCTCTCCACTCTCATGGCTCCTTGGACTGACTGGGCTCGGCCGTTGGTGTGCTGCTCCAGCGGGGCCAGCGGCCGAGGTCATGACGACTCCTCGAGTGCATTGACGACTTGCTCCAGGATGTCAGGGCAGTGATCTGCTATCTGCTGTAAAATGGCGTTGGCAAACTCTTGCAGCTCTGCGCTTTCCTTCTCGCCCTTTTCTAACTCGTCACGAAGCTGCAAGAAACACACACAACTACAGTCATTCTTTGCTGTTACACACGTTCACAACACGATGAGTTCTGCCTAGCAGGCTCAGCTCTAAGCTAAAACACCAGCTTCAGGGAGGCAGCTAGCAGAATGCACCAAGCAGTGTGTGCTCCCAGTTAAAGCCAGGTCACCATGGGAAAACTAAGTGCCTTAGCTACTCCTCAATAGATTGTTTTACGATTCATATCTGCAAAGCTTCCTTTGTAGAATGTTTCTCTGAAAGCAACTATACTCCAGAAAAAAAGACGTTGTTTTGCTAGTATATCAATTAACTTGATTTTTATTAACAGATAACAGGACATATTTACTTCAGAATTGCTTCCTATATGACATCAATAGAAATGTTACAGACTCCTACCTAATATACTCAGTGTCAAGTAGCATTCTGATTTGTCTGTGGTAAAAGTGACTTTCAGACACTGTGCTTCTTTACTCAGTCATACGATTGCCATACAGAATTGCAGTGGAGCATCCGTACTTTTTGTTTACTAAGAAATTATACATTTCCTATTGGATTATCTGCTCAGAGTAATTGGCTCAGAATGAGACGTGAAACTTGCAAACCTTACCTTATTCATACTTTGCATTGTCCACAAGCTGTCCGTCCAACAGACAGAGTAACAAACCACAGCACACAACACAATGGAGTAGATGTGAACATGGCTTTTAGCTCTGAATCTAATGGCACTGTCATAACTAAGGGCCTTAGGGTCTTAGTGAAGAGCAGGAAACATCTGCCTTCAGTAACCTGTTTATCCAACACAGAATTGATAAATCCCATGCTAGCCTGTGAACTGCCCAGGAGAATCCCAAGTAAGGTTGTAATTTGTGGAAGCATTAAGGGATTACTGTAGTCACAACAATCTAACAACAAGGAGAAGCAGCATCTCTTACCAGACCAGATGACACAGTTAAATAGATTGGATAAGCTTTCAAGCATACAGCTTTATTGTGATATTGTGATACGATATAGCAAAAGCCTGCTTTGTTTTATCAGTGATGATGCTGCTTGTAATTCATTCCTTCCGAATAGAAGACAAGTATATTTGTAACAGGTGCATATACTTCTTAAATGGGTCTGAAGTTCATTGCAAGCTTTTGCATTTAAAGTTTTGTTAATTTAAGTAAATGTAGCAACCAGATTATCTATTTTTGAACCTGCCTTTAAGTTTGATTTATTGAGTTTCTAATATTACCCAGCAGTCTTGTAACAATTCTTATTCTTGAGTTATTAATATTTTTATTGGAACTCTGTTGTGTTCATATGTGACATGGAAAGAATGTCACAGTAGGATTTTTCATCCATGAAGGAATACCTGGTCACCAGCATACAAAGCTCTTGATCTATATTTTTTACTGTTGTAAGGCTGATTGTTGTAAGTATTACAAAGAGACAGCTGTCAGGCAGTAGGACAACAGAGATCAGTTTATGTCAGTAAGAGCACAATCAGAGGGAAAAGTTACATTCCTACAATTAAAATTCGAATCAGATAGGATGTCTGTGCTTAGTGATGGCATCAAGCAAAGCATGGGAGATTGCTACAGTGTACTGCAAGAAATACTGCATGAAAACAAACAGGCTAAGAGTGACTACAGAATAAACACAAATGTTTTTCAAGAAGTTATGGTATAGACTTCTATAGACAAAAGTGAGAGAAAGGAAATTAAAAGGGTAAGCCAGCTCCACTACTCCCTTTACTAGGCAGGGTAGCATATAGTAAATTATTTGGGCTTTGCGTGCTGAATGTTAGTTTAATGTGCTCTTATGTGCTTTGTTCCTACTGGCTGGTGTGCTCACAGCTCGGCTATATGAATCTGAGAGGGGCTGATGCCAAGAATCACAATGCAAAAGCAACCTGATCCTGCTCGGCAGAACGACATGAGCTGGGGAAGGGGGAAACGAGTTGGAGGGGAGTACTTGGGGCTGTGAGAGGTCTCAGGGGAGAAGGAAGGGAATTCGGCAGTAACCCATCATGGCTCAGGAAGGGCATGCTGCAGGTCTGCGATTAGCTTGGTTCCAGCAGCCTGGCAGAGCAATTAGTTGGAAATTTGCAGTGGATGGATAAGCCTAGAAGTAGTCCAGTCAGCAAGCGGGAATGAAAGACACAGCTAGCGAGCAGCAGTGCTGCAGATGAAGAACCAGGAGATGTAGTCTAAAGGAGCTATGTCCGAAGTCTCTGGTTGTCAGGCTAGTGAACCTACAGCAATTCACATGGCCCCAAGCCACCTACTGCTGGGAAACTCACGAGGCTGGTCTTAATGCTGAGCTCTGAGGCACGGCTTCCTTGGCTTTTTGGGCCAGAGCAATGATTTGATGGTGCCATTTAGCAGGTAGAAGGTTGTGGAGGCTAGGAAAGACGTGGAATAATGGGAGAATAAGCAATTGATGTAATTCTGCTTCTCTTCATCAGTTTGCATGCATGAGTCCATTCTGGGCTCTCGAGCCACAAGAAGAGGACCAGGAGAGGGCACTGTTAGCAGGGAAACAGGGTCAGGCTGACATGGGTCTGGCCCCTCGGGCCTTGCTCCACCACCCTGTGCAGAGCTGTCCTCCAGGTAACCCTGCCAAGTCTTGCAGGTAAAGCTCCAGAAAAGGACAAAGTGATTTTTAAAAAACAGCAGCATACCAAAGCACCTCAAGGAGATTAACCTCCAGGAGTGAAGGGAGGTTGGTGGGCAAGAGAGAATCCTGCAGGCTGTTGTCTTCAGCCAAGCAGCGCTGCAAAGCCAGTGACTAAGTTTCTTGCTGTGCCATTAATTTATGTGAAAGCATGTGTATTACAAAGATTCCTTATAAAATCAAGAGAAGATCAACAACATAAGCCCACACCAAAGCTGAAATAAGTCAAATGTAATCAAACAAAAGTAACAAACTTAACCAGATGGAGAAATTATTTCCAAAAAATAAGTTTTGGGCCATCAAGAGGAGACTGCTCTGTGTGCTGAAGGCAAGCAATAATACTTTGTAAATTAGCACAGACAGAAAGTCTATGCAGCTGCCTGGCAGATGTCTGTGATGAAACATTTAAAAAAAGCAGCAACGATAGCCTTGCATTGAGTTTGCTAGTTTCAGAACATCTAAGTTTAATGATAGGATTTCTAGTTAAACAAAGCCATCTTAATTGACTGTGTGGCTGGTTACAGCATTTCTGTATTATCTATGTCATCTCTGTTTACATCATTCCTCTCAGAAACAGCTGTGAGCAGCGTACGTCACTCCTCATCCAGACAAGCTTCTTAATGGGGAACATCCAGTTCTCCATGGTATAAATTGATTCACCTAGATGTCTGACAGTCCAAAAATTAGGGAATTTATTTAAAATTATCACTATCGATTCTGCTCCTTGTTTTCTAGAATGTTGTGAATGCAAATGGAAACAGTACCATCCTTCCCGTGTCACTTTTCCTATGAAAATAAAGGAGTGCCAACAGTGTTTTCAGTTGGCAGTTTGAGCTCAGGATACTATATGTCTCATCTGCTTGCCTCATAGTAATGTCAGAAAAAAAGAGAAGGCCAGATATGTTTATAAGCCTAGCTGATGACAAGTAAAAGCAGACAACTCAGAAAGAAAAGGACAGAAAGGACTCTAGAAGTGCCTCACAGTATTTACACTTTATCTAGGGATAGAAGAATAGAAAGGACCTTTGGTGTCTCAGAGGAATGTACATTTGCAGATAGCCTGCAATAGATTCAGACACCATTCACCACGGCTGCCTTCTGGGGTTTAGAGCAAGTCATGAATGGAATACATTGGCACTCAAGGTTAAACTCCATTAGAGAACAGTAATAATAAACGTGAATTTATCTTGCATTTGTATTTCTCTGATCCAAGATATTCCAGAAAGTATTTAAAGATTAATTGACTTTTGGAGGGAAAATAACTTCCTAGTAAAGAAATGCAATGCTGTGGTTTTACTAGGTGAACCACAGAGTTGCTCTGCAGAATCTCAGTGGCCTTTGCTTATCCCATAATGTATACAGGGCAACATTTAGCTAAGAATCTTCTAAATTTCTTGATATGGAAGAAGTTCCCTATGCAAAGCAATAATTCTGCTGATAAAAAAAAAAAAAGGCAAATAAAAATAAAGCTGTATCTCATTCATACAGATGAGTTCTGGCTATAGACAGTAAAACTGGATGTAGGTTATGAAGTGCTTGCAGAGCCACACAAAAGGCAAGTTAACTGCCAGACTTCTATAAGGCTGCAATGCTGGGATTTGTAATTATGCTTCCCTTACAATTCAGGTGCTTCTGGATCAGACCTTAGCCAGTCTGAAAAATACATTTAGAACTTAAAATAACAGAAATAAGCAAGAAAAAGAAATTCAACTGATTTAATCTTAGCCTCTGCTTTGTCTGAAAATAACTTAAACTATGGTGTATCTCTGGCAAATGGCGAGCAGCTTTTGCGTCTTCCCAGACATACCAGTCTAAATATGTACATGTGAAGTAATGAGAGCCAATTACACACAATCCTTTATTCCTCAACTCTATTAGACTTGTAAAAGGGACAAAGGAATGGGTTAGGAATGTGGAAATCTCGGTCTGCCATTCCTTCCTTTTTTTTTTAAGTCTATTAAATATATACACATTTAAATTAGACCACTAAATATTTCTGCTCTTTCTATAACTTCCGTTTTTCTCTTATCTGTTATCAAATATTAAAAAAAAATCATTTAAGTTTTCAAATTAAGCATTCTTACTTGTCTTTTTAAAGTAATGTAAGCATGAAAAATACGTTTCAGATATATCTAAATGCACTCAAATAGATTTCACAACCAATTTTGAGAAAAACACCTTTACAGATTTGTTGAGGGCTACTGAAGTATGTATCTGAAACTTGTACATGTGATTTATCCTGCATTCCTGGGCATCTCTAAGCTTTGCCAAGAGCAGAAATGTTATTAATTCATTGGTAGTATATGAGTTTCAAAAGGGTATAAATGGAAAGAAGGGATTAAATAAT